ATAGCATATTCTTTTTCCGCTAAAATATCGATCGGATGGCATCCAGCCAAAATCTGAAGAGCTACTGTGGAAACAGTTCTAAAACACTTAATAATCTCCAATAAAGCGATTCTTTGAATTTGCAAAATTTTTGTTACGCATTCGGACCGTTCCAGTCCACCATGCGCGAAATGCATACAAGATCTTTCTCTCAATAGCTCTTTTATATAAATTCTTAAGAACTTTACCTTGAAATGTATTTTACTAAGTCTATTAAGAATATGGGTGCATTCCATCTTTATTTGATCTAGGTGAGGTATAAAAGGTATAGAGGTTAGTGACACTGACTGCCATACTAATGGTTCCAAGTTTGAATTCCGGAGAAGGCACGGATACTGGAAAGCATCTGTACGGCAAGGAGACACTTAAAATGCACGGCCAGCCAAAAGTCCTCTCGAGGGGTTAATGGTAGGGAAAGAGAGGTGGCAGACCCTCAGACCGGTTCCCCAGGGTGTTCTCGCTTAAAACTGGCATGTTAGCGACTATGCTTGTTCAACCAATGATTAGTTTCTAGTATCCTACCTACTTTGATCTGTGCCTGTTTCTCGAAAGTCTGGGAGTTTCGTCAAAGAATCATGTTCTGTAAGATAATAATGAAGGAAATGCTACAAATTATTGGAATGTTTGAAAGACATGAGATGATTATTTGACATAATTGATAACGACAATAAGATATGATAAATAATTTTTATTAGCATTTTCAGTGCCTGATTTTTACCATTAGTTGTCAACACATAAAGATTTTGCAAACATTTGCTTTTGATTGGAGCTATTTTTTGTTAATTCTAATACAATTTTTATATTTAATAGAGAGGCTATTAAACATTATTTTTAGAATGACTTTTATGGAAATTATAAAGAAATAAAAAACATCAAAATACTTATTAGTAACTTATTATTTAAATCGTAATTGCCGCACTATTTAAAAGCAAACCCTGTTTAACCAATCTTCAAAGAGCTGAAATTTTGGTTTCTTGTATTCGATCCAATAAGAAATATTAATAACATAATTCAGAAGTCAAACAACAAAAATCAGCGTTATACCTACAAAATTTTCACAGGACTAGTTTCGATGGTTTTACCGAACCATCATCTTCAGCTGCAAAACCGCAAATGAACAAGATAGGAAATAATGATTAGATAAGATAAGAAAGCCTGAACAAGAATAAGCAAGTGGCGCCATTTGTTGGCGAAACCAGAACTAAAACATAATTTCTCTAAAAGCCGAAGGCAAATTTTGATTGGAATTAGGATCGTTAACTAGAACAGAAAGATTTTTATGAATGTGAAATGCCTCTAGAAAATCCAGTTCTCCAATGGAAGATGTTTTTTGAATAATTTTGGCAGCAGAAAAATTGAAAGTGTGATTTTCGGACCAGCAATGTTGAGCAACAGAAGACTTCTGTGTTTCCTTTTTTCTAACATATGCCTCATGTTCTTTGACGCGAAATTTTAAGGCTCTCTTAGTTTGGCCAATGTAAATTAAACCACACTGGCAAGGAATCCTATAAATACCCCAGGAATTCATATCCGGAATGGGGTCCTTGAGTATAGAAGTTGGAATTTTATTAATGGGAGAATAAACAACCCAACATTATTAATCAAGCAGTAAAAAATTCTCATCTGAACACACTAAAAGCCACACTCTTATTTTAGGAGATTATAAAAATTCTGTTGTCATTCCCTTCTTTCCATCAATTAGCTATAAAGTTGCACATATTTTGCAGAAATTTAACTTTCGGGTTGTTTATTCTCCCATCAATAAAATTCCAACTTCTATACTCAAGGACCCCATTCCGGATATGAATTCCTGGGGTATTTATAGGATTCCTTGCCAGTGTGGTTTAATTTACATTGGCCAAACTAAGAGAGCCTTAAAATTTCGCGTCAAAGAACATGAGGCATATGTTAGAAAAAAGTAAAACACAGAAGTCTTCTGTTGCTCAACATTGCTGGTCCGAAAATCACACTTTCAATTTTTCTGCTGCCAAAATTATTCAAAAAACATCTTCCATTGGAGAACTGGATTTTCTAGAGGCATTTCACATTCATAAAAATCTTTCTGTTCTAGTTAACGATCCTAATTCCAATCAAAATTTGCCTTCGGCTTTTAGAGAAATTATGTTTTAGTTCTGGTTTCGCCAACAGATGGCGCCACTTGCTTATTCTTGTTCAGGCTTTCTTATCTTATCTAATCATTATTTCCTATCTTTTTCATTTGCGGTTTTGCAGCTGAAGATGATGGTTCGGTAAAACCATCGAAACTAGTCCTGTGAAAATTTTGTAGGTATAACGCTGATTTTTGTTGTTTGACTTCTGAATTAGTATTTATTCGGCGTGTTATTGTGTCTTAATTATTAATAACATATCAAAAATAAAACCTAAAAAAATTGATTGATGATCTTATAACTCTAACTCCTTTTTTCCAGCTGTTATAAGAGAATATAAATCAAATAAAAATTTGATACAGTCAAAAGTCGTTAATTCGGACACCCATAATCCGGAATGATCTATAATCCGGACCTCAAAGCTACAAATTTTCTGCGCATGCGTCGCGTTGACGCTTGCGCGTAAGACCTTTACCGCTGCGAATTTGCGTGTGCAAAATACGTTTACGAATGCGCGTTTAATGTATAACGGACGGGATAAGCTAAGCTAAAATTATCTATTTCAGTTAATGTTGCAGATTGCGTTGTTCCTTTATCTTCGAATTGGATCGGATTTTATTTTTGCAGACTGGCAATTTAAAAGTGCTTGAACTCGATTATTCAATAGATCCATTTATTTAAATGTAAAGGATTAAAACGAAAGTCTGCCTTCAAAATGGGGCCGAGGCATATCTTTATTTAGGGGCGAATTCAAGTGCAACGCTCTGATAAATTGCAAATGTTAGCTCGCAAGAGGCGTTCCTGCTATCGGCTGCTAAAGTCGAATTCAAGTGCAACGCTTTACCGCTCTGGTAACTGATGACGTCAAAATTGCAATGGGGAGCTGGTTTGCTCTCGTGCCAGGAGAGCTTGTCCGATAAACTACATCAATATCCAATGAGACTGCGTGTCGATGTAAACAAAAAACATCAGTTCCCATGATTTCTCTGAGCTTATGGTCAAGTGTTTACTGCGTTGTAGTGTGGTGTAACGAATTGTTCCAGTCCTGAAAACGAAAGAAATATACAGACATGTATATTTCTTTTAATGTGTACAACTTTATTTACTTTATCCTATAGAAAATTCCCTCCAAAGTAATCTAGAGCAACAGGTGTGTGTAAAATATATTTTACTTTTCAGACAAAAATCCTTGCTTTTTCAAATATAAACCACATTTTTTTTCCCATTTTCAAATTACAGCATTTGGTTTTAATTCTTCTAATAGTAAGTTTAATTTAAAATTCAAATTTGTGTTATATTTTTATTGTTTAATGCAGATGCATGATTCTTCAGTGACAGTAGGCATGTTTACCATATGAAAATTAACTAGTTCTTGAATTATATAGTAATTAATAAGCCCATCTATCTACAAGCAGATAAGCCTGCTGAACACCGCTATCCCAGTCTCTCTTTAAATCCAGGTGAAAAAGCTGGCTGCATGATGAGTGTTTCTTCATTTTTTCAATGTATAACATGAATACTAAGTTTTCCTTAGTCTTCCATGCAGGCATTCCTTCCCTTAGACATTCATTATGTGATGAAACAGTTAAGAGCAATTTTTAGATTTATATTGTACATCGTTGGGAAAATATAAAAATGAAATTAAAGGTATTTCAATGTAATACAATAAATAAAAAATTATATGAAACCCTGATAATTCTAATGTGATATTAATGTAATATATACATCCAGAGTAAAGGTTAATTAATTTATAAATTATGCTTTGTGTTCTGCTCATTATATTGTGCATTTACAGTACACTTTCTGCTTCTTAAGTGAAAGTTTGGACCCATTCTCATTTGATATCAGTTATGTTCAGATTTATTTATTTCATAAAATTTCAAAAAACAATTTTTGGCTATTAAAAGCTACAAGTGCAGAAACAAAAGCTTAATTTCTTTACTGTAACTGTGTCATGCTTCTCTGCTGATAATGAAAGTCGTCTTTTAATAAGATTTCTTTCATTGCATATATTAATTATATCTTTTACCATACTGGTTGCCATCTTTCATTGTGCATTCTTCAATATTTTTTGGTACTTACGTATTAACACAAACACCTGGATCAGTTTGGTGGTCTTTATAAATGAAAAGAGAAAAATACTTATCAGGAGAAGTACGTTGTTTTTGCAGCTTGCTTTTAGCATAACCAAACTATCAATATTTATCTAAGTTGGCAAAATGTTATCAACATATCAAAGGAAAAAACATTTAACAAATTTTAAAATACTAATTTGAATTATTAAATAAAAATTATATGATAGTTTAAAAAAAATACATTTTCCACAAATTTTTTGTCTAATTTTTTAGCACTTGTGCCAAGTGATCTGTTTTCACTAAAAAAAAAAAAATCAGAGAATTACATAAACTTGATACTGCATGCCTTGTCTATGTACCAAATTCATCTCATAGTTGTTTCCATTAGAAATTTTTGTACTAAAATATTCTATTCCTGCAGAACTTTTAACACAGCTTCTTCTTTTGATGGTAAGCAGTATTTTAAATCTGAAATTAATCTAAAACAACTATTGGTATCTAAAAAACCATTGGAACTTGAAATACAACATAAGGAACACATATGAAAATGGTGACATTGCTTGAATGAAAAATTGTCATGAGCATGTTACCTGAAACATTTTAATGCATAATCATTGCCAGAGATTGGCACATTTTTGAAAATTTGGTAACTTTTATTAAGGTGGTTTCAATAATATGCAAATATCTTTTATTCTTATGATTGCTTCATTGTATACTTTTTCCCTTTCCCTAGAGTGCAGTACAATACCACAAGTTTTCCAGCCAAATGCGGTATGCATTTCAAGTTTCTATACATTTATATAAATTTTAAGAGAGTAAAATGTTGACGAAAACTGCATTAAGTTTTCAACTCTTGTTTTGTTTTTCATTAAAAATTTGCTACGATTATGTATAATTCATTTTTTTTAATGTAAATGTTTTTAAGTATTTGTAGGATAAAGGCAAATTACACTTATTCATTCTTTCTTTGATATAATACATGTAGCTCTTTACCTGAAATCAATGTTTGTCAAATTATTGTGCATAAATTAGAAGTATGCATGTTTCTCTTAAGTCAGTTATGTTTCAGGAACTATCTTGTATAGAATAATAATGAATTGTATAGAAAATTGTGGACGAGGTGTTAGGTGTACAGGAACGTGGTATATTATAAACATGTATAGTATCTCATAGTATATAAACTCATAACTTTGATTATGCAGTATGCTTTGTATATTATTTCTGAAAGCATGTATATTTCAATCAAGATTGTTGAGGTTAATTGTGCTTCTTTTATGCTATCTCTGAAAGCATGTATATTTCAATCAAGATTGTTGAGTAAACTTTTCTTGCTTTATGCTATCTCTGAAAGCATGTATATTTCAGTCAAGATTGTTGAGTAAATTGTGCTTATTTTATGCTTTTTTCTTTTTTACATTAGAAAATTCCACACCTTTATCACGAGGAAATCTGCAATGGCATTTAGGAATGACAAGTTTGTATCTATTACATAAAATCTAATGTTTTCTGGATTCTTCTTTTCCTTTTCCTCCCAACAGAAAAACTTTAATGGTATAAATCAGCGGTTTTCAACCTTTTGACTGTAGTGTACCATCTAAGCAAAAACTGAAAAACATTAATACCTACCACTAATTTTACAATGATTATTTTTCAATTCCTCAATAGAAATATTAAAAAATATATATATATATATTGCCATTTGCACACTCTTTGTATTAAATATGTACACATAAAAAACTATTAGATTAAAAACTGATGATTACTTAATTATCAAAATTAAATTTAATTAAATTAATTATTCACTTGATTATCAAAATTTCAGTTATAATACTTTAATATTTAATTTCTTTATGTCTGCTCTTATTTCATTTAATGGTAAATTAGGATCCACTTTTTATTTTGGTGAGTATTTATATTTCAAATTTAACATGGAAAAAAATCATTTTTCACACAAATAGGTTGTGCGAAAAGACAATACAAATTTGATAGCTTTATTTGAAATGCCTTTAAATTCTTTTTTTCGGTTCAGCCAAAAGTTAACAAGTGTGTCATTTTCCAAATCTTCAAGTCAATTTCGATCAAAGGAAATTTCTATTAACTATTCTTTTCTTTATGAGATTTTTGAATTTCATAGTTAAAAATATTTTGTTTCTTTGCATACCACCGGCTGAGAACCGCTGGTATAAATTAATTATAACAGATGTAAATTAATATTTCTCATACAAAAGAGTTATTTCAATTCTTTATTGCGAACATTATATACAGAGTATGTCTTTTATTAACAACAAGATTTTAAGAATTTAAAATAATAATCATTAAATCCTCTTGATCTATAAACAGTCTTAAAAATTATAAAGGGAAAAAAATTGAAAGTTAAAGAAATCAATATTATGAATTGTTCCTTTTTAGAGAAGTTTCATTGTTTAATTAATTATAAAAAGTGTTTTACATTATGAAATATAAAAATTAAGAATATTTGAATTTGAATGAATATTTTAAAATTTTCCCTCAGATAGAAGCTCAACTATTCGAAGCAGGAGACCGAAGAGAAAAAAGGAAGAGAGAGATGATATTACAGCTGCAGAAAAGGAAATAATTGAAACGCAGAAGAATATATTAATGTACTGTGTGAAATATGTGACTTGTATAAGCAATCAGTTGCAAATCAGTCTGCTGTCATAGAAAATCAAAATATAATTATTAATTTATTAAAAAAATAAATCATGCATTTCAAATATTACAGTGTTTTCATTCTTGTATGTATTTCTGCAGTGTGGGATTCATATTTTAATTGTAAAATTTACTACTTTCTTAATTTTATAAAATTTTGTGATTATAAAAATTATTTAAAAGAAATTCACAGATCCATTATATGACATAAACATTATAATAATTCTAATACCACTATTATAAGTCTCGTGAAAATATTTATGCATTTTACACAGCAATTATCTTTTTCCTGGAGGAAAATGGGAATAAGACCTGTAAGAATCTTTAGTCAATGTATTACAAATTTTAATTTTCAGATATAACACGAAATGAATTAAATTGTTTTTCAATTATGTTAATAAGTTATATGAATGAGATGTGGTATTAAAAATTTCATTTCTTTTTATCATTGAAGAAATAACATTCGATATCCTACAGCTCCATAACAATGGCAGATAAAATTGGACATTCTAATTTCGAAGTTCTAAAAATACAGAGATGACAACTATTAAAGTATGGCTAATGTCTAGTTTACAATAACAATGTTGAGTCGCGTACTAAAAATTAAGTGAATCAAACTGTATTTATTTTCCCCCTTCTCTTTTTTTGGCTGAAAAACAATTTATTATACACTCATGATTTTACTTAAATGTATTTCTTTTAATGGCAAACCCACTGAGGTAAGTATGCAGTAAGTTATTATAGTGAATGCGTAATGATGATATAAATCTAAATTCAGCAAACAATCTTTCCCTTACTTTAATGTTTTAAAATCTAGAATTAAAAGAAAAATGTATGTTCTTTAAATAATACAAGAGGATATGGAGGCATAAATCATAGGCTGTTTATTCTTTACATATTATGCTAATCAGGAATTGGAGCAAAACCCTGCTTAATCGAAGAATACGCTCACAGGAATGGTGGAGGAAAATTGAACTGTCCAATATTTGTTTTGCCCACCCCCAAGAAGACATAAACAGTATAGAGTGAAATAATTGTTTTAATTTATACTATAATAAATAAGCATGAAGTTCTTATGCTATTAAATGTGTATTGTCACATGGAAATTTTCTATCTTGTCCCACGGAAGGGGACGAAAGGGAAACATTTGACTTTTTGGAAGAAACTGAATTTCGGTGCAGTAAATCTTATTGCTAAGTTTAAGATAAATTAAGTGCAATGCTAATTTATAGTGACTTACTATTGTAAATCATGACTGGCATACCAACACTAAAATATATATATATATATCGAGCCTATTAAGTTATTTCTGGTAGTCAAGAGTTTTTAAACATAAATGATGGAAACAAGAAATTCAGAGGGAAGAACAATAATGATAAAAGTTGTCAGTATGCATTTGAAACCAGGACTAATAAAATTATTTAGGATTATTATTATCAATTAAAATCATTTAGGGTTGTGCATTTAGTTACAGGTTTAAATATAAACCATGGCTTGTGGGTCCCCAAGAATATATTATGAAAGTAATTTTTTTCATAATATATTCTTTATTATCCATGAAGGGGGTTTCACCTTTGCCAGAGGTTCATTGTTGCCCACTTTGGGTTTTTATTATCGAGTTTCAAAATTTAAAGATAATTCATTGTGCAATGCACTGACTGAAAACTTTCTGAAGGTACCAACTCATCATCTTCAAACACATCGATCTCAGGATTTTCAACACAATACCTTAAGCATATATTATGTAAAATGGCCACCAGATATGACCATTTTACATATTTTGCTTTGTGAATACAATAGTGTTCCACCAGTATCGTGCAGTACCCTAAATCTTGATTTGATCTCTATAGCTGCACGAACTTTTCTGTGCTTCTCATTATAGAGATATTCCCGTGATAAAATGGGAATATAATCCACTATCTCCCAAAGATATGCACGATGCGACAAAATACTATCTAGATTTTGTTTCAGTCCACTCCATATAAATGCATCATGAGTATTGCCTGGCCATTGTCCTATAGCATAGAGAACCCTCAGACCAGCATTCCATACCTAGAAAAACATAAATCCTAAGTCAAAAGAAAGTTTCATCTGAAATTTTAATACACAGATTTTTAACATTAAATATAGTTGATATATTAATAAATCAGTCTTTTTAAGGAGTTTACTTTCCATTTTTAACAAAAATATGTCACTGTTTTTTCATTATTAAAAAATATGCAATAAAACGTTAAAACAAACACACACACACACACACAAAAAAAAAAAAAAAAAAAAATTACAGCTACCCTTTTTTCATTAAATTGTAGTAATTATAGTAAATAGGTGATTCTAAAATTTATTTAATATTTTGTATTATTTAATATCTATACTTCACTATAATTATAGTATAGATAGCATTTTGTTATTATTTGAATAATAATGAAACATTCTTGCAGTAATTTGAAATGACTATAATATTATACTTATTATCATATATTTCTTAGCTTTTCACCATTAATGGAAAATTTATTTTTCCGGTTAATGAAGACAAAACAAAAATTAATATCACCACACTCGCAACATCTGCGGTTTCATTTGTATGTAACCCAAAATAATTCTTGGTAAGCTAGGTAGAATCACATTTGTGATTGCACTCCAGTTCTTTTACAGCTGGTCGAAAGAATTAACATCTACTGTATGTGGAAATAGCGAACAAAACAGTAAGAAATTGGAACAATTACCTGTGGACAACTTGTATTCATAGCATTCTAAAATGAGCTTTTGGTAAAATTTGACCGCAAATAAAACAGTAGTAATGAACGAATGTTTTTTCACGAAGTGGGTCCAATACTTTCACAGCAGGGTTATTTCATGTATTCTGCAGAGAGACTGATGTATGGTTTGTTGTAACTGCTGTATACAAATGTCTGGCTCAGAATTCCACAGCAGTAATTAGCACAACTTTCATGGTTGATGGTATAATATGGAGGTACCAAAAATTAGTATTATCACAGTAACTGCAAGATGGCTTATATTTCTAAAACTCAGTTAACACATTTCATGCAGAAAGAAAATATTATCCAGTTTCATACTTAAATCAAGGTCACTGAAATGTGGTAAAAGCAATCTGCTTAAGAAAACAGATGCCTCTGTAGAGGACTTTCTATGGAAAACTGGCTTTCATTCCCATTATACATGGGCAAAACCAATGTCATGTAATATAATAATCTATTAGTACAGTAAATACATTTAATTTCTTTGTATTTATTTATGTCATGCTGCTTTTCGTGTAATTTAGTATGATAACCTTATAAGTTTATTTAATTCTGATCATGGTCTACGGAAGTAAGGTAAGTCACCTGTTATCGAGAATATCAAGTTATTAATAGTTATGTGAAAGTCTGCAATAACTTTTCATATCATAAGAGATTTACGAATGTGTATATAACTTACATGTGTAGTTATTATGCAAGATCTATAGAAAGTATCCAAAATTACCATGACATTAATCACACTGTACGAACAGGCAAGACATTATACATTAGGAGAAAATTAACTAATATTTTGGGGGATGAAATACTATTTTACACATGGGAACTGTTTAAACAGCTGAGAAAAATTCATGCTTTTTCCCCCTACAGTTACAGAATATATATATATTGTTTCATAAGAATAAAAAGTAAAGTTAAATTTAAATAATTCTCATGCGCCATTGCTGCAAAGAATGAAATTTGAATTTAACAAATATTCTCTATTCATATAAAGTTAATTTAAATTATGAAATTTTAATTGCATACATATCAAAGATTAATTATTGCTGCAAACTAATTTACTATATCACTGAAATTCTGAGAGCATATGTAAATTAAATGCACGTATCTAAAACCATGAAAAAAATACATAATATTCCAAAAAACTAATCCCAAACATATACATATATATATATATATCTCAAAGACAGGCATATGCATAATTTCTGTTAGAAAAACAATTTCTCCGAGATTACGTTTTAGAGTAATTAAAACAATAAATTAATGGTGATATTATTACTGCATTCCAAAATTCGCAGTAATTAACGATTTCGATCATTACTACGAAAAAAAAACGGGATGAAAAAGAAAGAATCCTGATACAATAACATTAAAAATTTGTGTGTTTACGTATAAAAATATATAATATTCTCAAATAGGTCATTTAAGCATAGTCTTTGATTCGGAAACATTTCCAGAAGTATTTCAGTTTTCATAATCTGAAGTAAAAACAAACCTGCTTTTGCAGAGAATATCCATTGGCAGTTGCCTTCAGAAAAGGTTTCAATTCATTGAAGCAAACCGATTTAATCTGAATCAACTGATGAATTCACGCTCCGACATTTCAAAAGCATTACGACTGTCTCTTAAATGCCAAGGAATTCGATCAGCATTTCTCCGATTTCTTAAACGTCTGAGCAAAATCACTTCAGCCATCTTGTTTACAGTCGCTGTTAAGAGTTTGCGGCAGGTCAGGAGTAGCCGCAAAATTCCTCTATGGTAGTGACGTATTTTCAGTAGGCGTGTCCGAAAAGCGTTGCACTTGAATTCGGTTTTGCAATGCAAGTGCGATTACCATGACAAGCGTTTGAAAATAATCTCTGAAAGTGATGTACTTTATTCGGCAACGTGCACAAAGTTTGGACGGTAGTTTAAACAATCCATCAGAAGTTGGAAAGAAAGTGACAGAGGTTGGAAGTGTCTACTCGTACGACGTCGGACGGCTAGCTCTAACATGGTAAAAATGCTAAACGTACGACTGGTCGCGCAGAGACCATCTGCGCATGAACATGCCTCCAATGTGCCATGCGAATCGAGCGCCATTTTGTTCTCGAACGTGGTCGGATGGTGTGGTGAGTATACGAGTGATATCTATTGTTCCAAATTTTAAGTTGAAATTCAAATAAATTAAAATTCTAATGCTTTTTCCACTTAAATGAATAGTCTTTTTTTAAATTTAATTGTCTTTTTGATTAATTTTAATCAATATTATTTTTTTTTCTTGCACAGACCGCAATTATAGGCATAATTCGTTTTCTGCTGAATGTATAGGTAA